TTTCTCCTTTATATTTAGCTGGGAAATTGACACGCCATATTTGTTCATCACTCCTCGAAACGATTGTTGTCTTTTGAACATTTTAAACGATTCTTCCTTAAATATTGCCTTTCATACATTATAAAACTGGAAGATAAAAATTGCTAGTTATTTTCTTTCTAGGAGCTTTCCAAATTGCCTTGCCTCATATTAATGATTCTTTGAGGCACGCCCAACGACCTTGCTCGCTTTTTTTTAGTTTTTTGCGGTCTTAGCTTACCGTATTATTCACGATTTAATAGCTAATATGAATTCTTAATTATCTGCCCTGTTTGAGGGGACGGTGATGGAGTGGTTTCTAAATAAGGGTCATTACATTGCCCGGTGAAATCAATCACCTTAACAACAACTGTTATTAATTTTGCAAGGTTTTTCAACCTCGTAATGCATCACCGTACTCATTTCATTATCGATGCTAGAAGCCGCAACATATGTTCTGATAAAAACAAAATCGAGATAAATGAATAGCATAAATTTATGTTATAGTTGGTTACTTTTATATATGTTTTTTTGTAAACAGAATTCTAGAATATTCATTGGAACTGTGAGTCATCCAAGGTTCCATGTCAATGGAACCCTGTCACGACACTATTATTGTAACCCTGTCACGACACCTCGCAGAGCCTTACCATTCTGTGGGTTGACTGTAACAATATCGATAATAAACTTTCGATGGAGATAAGATTTCCTATCCAATTTGAGACCTGACTTGGTTTCACTAGCGAAACGACTCGACTTGGCTAGAATAGCGTATTGGCTTGGGGGCGAGTCTCTAGGGTTGGACAACTTTGACCAGACTTGAAGTCAACTCATAATGGCTCCGCCATTTTTTTTGCGGTCGTTGTGTTTTTTTTTTGTTTCTGTATTAATTTAAGTAATTTTATGTAACCTTTTGCGAGAATGCCCTCTGGGCGATGTAGTTAACCGAATAAATAAATAAACGGCCTTGGACATAGGTCAACTACCCCCCCCCCCCCCCTTAGACCTGGCTTTTTTTTTGGCTAGCGAAAGTAATTGATTTGACTAGAACACCGATTTGGCAAGAAGGCGAGTTTTTAGGCTCCCTCGGATAACCTTAACAAGACTTGAAGCCAAGCCATACTGCTTGCGCCTTTTTTGTATTTCTGCGTTTGTTTGGTCTCTGGATTTGACTTGTCGCTAAGAGTAAGCGGTCACATCTTGGGGGCTTAAGCCAGATATTAAAGTCTGAACTGTCGATCATTTTTTTATTATGATCTGAGCATACAGCGTCAATTAAGCTGACCCTGGACGTCTGACCGGACAACCAGATCCGACACGGTTGTCTAGGAAGAAGATTCGTGACGGGACATATCTTGACAGGGAACATGAATTCGGCGTCGTAAGGGGCGAGGGGATTAATAACGGATTTCTCCAAGCGCGTAAACTTGGGATTATTCTGGCTTCCCCTTCGAAGGGGTCTTGAGTCGAGGATTAGTGAAGGGTGAGACAGTCGCGCGCTTTTCGGGATAAAATTGCGAAGAGGGAATAAGTTGAGAAAGGGGGGGGGGGGTGAGGGGGAGAGCACAACGAAATGGGGATTTAAGGATTACTGAACCGTTGTTGGGGGCGTTACGATTGCCTTTGGCCGATGCGCTTTATGTGTTTGGTTTTGATGTATGTTTGGTTCGAATTTTTTTTGTGTTCTTTTACTGTACGAGTTTGGTGTATAGCATGGGGTCAAACGGGCTGATATTATTTCTAGGGAGAGAGTTAGAGTGATTTAGAAGCCCGAATATCTTGGTATTTGTATTCTTTTTATAGCGCAATAAAGACATTTCTCAAAGATTTTTTTTTTTTTTTTGTGAGAAGTTGCAGAAAACTTGGGCTCCCCACAGCAAGCGAAGAAATGGGAGGATATTTGGAGTTCTTATTTGCAACTAATATTCTGTTCCGCATGTTTTTATCTTGCCGGTTTAATTGCTCGTATCTTCGTATCTTTTTTATTTAATTGCGCTCGTCGCATAGTTTTGAGTTGATCTTGACGTCAAGTACCGTGACAAAATTTTATGGTATTTTTTTACGCTAGTTATACCGAAAGTGGGTAAGATCTAACTACCCAAACTTGCTTCTAAAATATTGCGCCACTTGTGTGCTCTGTCTTTTTTATGGTTTTCTGTTTATGCACGTCAGGACATATTAAAAGTGCGGCATCACCCTAGACCTCCTGCTGTGCAATGTAAATTTTTGTTAATATATTTTATTGGTTTGCTCGCGTGTGGTTTTCCATCCACTGCTCGTGTGTCTTGAATGAAAATTAATTTTTATAAATGGAAACTCGACGGAGGTTCGTTTTCTGTGGTTTTTAGGTTTGAGAAGGCGGGGGAGAGAACAAGGAATAAAGAAAAAGTGGGGATTGAGACGATCCGACAGAGGGAAAAAGAAAACGAGAACGAAAGCAATGTAAAAGTTAAAGTAAATGAAAAGTTAACAAAAAAAGAAGAAACGTGACGAAATACAATACCAAAGGAAGAGAGAGACAAGTGGAAATAAAAAGCAAATAGTAGGAGAACGAGAGCTAAAAATAAGAAAGAGCTTGAACGAAGGAAGAAATGGGCAGCCAGGGACGCAGAGGGACAACCGGTGGAAAGAAAAGTGACGTGCCTTTTCCCGGGGATGAGGAGGAAAAACCTGACGGAGCTGAAAAGTGCAAAACTCGGTGATTGAAAAAAAGCAAAAGGGGGAAAGCTTGGGCGGTCTTCAAGGAGACTGTAAAAGAGGATTAAGGGACGGCAAAAAAAAAAGACGCGAGCTGGCGAATCTCACCTCACGACGGACATGTGATGGCCGCTTTTGGAGGTGGGATCGACACGCCGAAGAAAAGAAGGCTTTGATCGTTCATAAATATAATAATAATATTAATAATAAAACTGATAACATACAAAAAAAAAGGAGAATGGAAAGCTTCTAAAATGAAGAGAGCCAACACGTAATACCCCAAGTCCCAGACATCGGTCGACTTATTTGGTGTGAGAAAACCGCATCGTGTATGTCGAGAGGCAGAAACCCAATATTATGTCTGTCTTTTCTAAAAAATAAACATTGAAAACTTTGATCGTACGGGCTTCTAATATAAAAAAAAAATCGGTTTTGCTTTCCGCTATTGCCGGTACTAGGATGAGGTGTATTCCGTCCGGACTAATGTTATTATTATTTTTTTTTTTTTGGAGTGCACTCGCCACGTTCGAAATTGCTTTAGGAGTGTCTTGCGACCCAAGCCCGCTGAGGAGAGGAAATATTTTGCTCTTTACCTCCTTTCGGTGTCTGAGCGTTTGATTTTTTATGGGTTTCTGGGGGGAAAGAGCATATTTATCTATATTTTCTGCGGGTCTGGATCTACGTGCCTTCATGTAATTTTTTTAGGCAATCGTAGGTCTTCATTGGAACTAGAGTTGTTGTTGGGAACTCCAGACGCTCTCCTGTATCTAAAGGAATTTGCTGCAGAGTATACGATTTTTTTTTGTTTGCGATCCGACGGCCATGGAGAGAGTGAAAGATTGAAAATGGCGGTTCTTGCGAAATCCCGAGAACCTCTCTGCTTCCTCTTCTTCGCCTTGTTAGAGTCCCGCCCTAAGCTTTTTTCATATTTTATGCTTTGTATCAGTCGCGTCGAATAAGTATAATTGCGCTCTTAATTTTAACTTGGAGCACGTGGAGTGAAAGCTCGCGCTGGAAAACCCAGAGATCCTGGGTTCGATCCCCAGCCCTGCTAGTTTCTATTGGGATGAGCATCGTACCGGCGTGTGGTCGCGTATCACCACTGCACGACAAACGTTGAAGACTCCACACCAGCAGTCGTACTGCACTGGCCAGATTTAACACCTACTGCGGGTAACAATGTCTCACACTTTGGCAAACTAAACTATCTTTGTCGAAATAGCTGAAGACTAATTGTTTTTCTTGCATTTTTGCTTCTAGCTTTTTGGTATAACGAGGCATTTTACGGTAAATCACAAAGTTCTCTTATACAAGCGCAGACGTGTCGATTTTTAAATGCCGGCTGAAACTCCGAAGCCAGCTGTTTTAAAATATCGCTTTTTTAATGACAAAGGTATACAGTGCGATCCACCTATAACGATAATGAGAAAAACTGAAAATACAATCGTTATAACCGATTATCGTTGGACCTGAACTAGAAACTGGTCGTTTCTAGTCTAGAAACTCTATAAACTGATCCTTATAAGTGGCATATTGTTATATGTGGTATCGTTATAAGTGAATTGCACTGTGATTAGAGTAAATGCGAAATATGACTACGATCTGTATTCACGGGAGCGATCGTGAATTATCCACACCTTGACCTTGGTGAACTCAGTTGGCCTCAAATAACCCATCGTGTAGCTTTACTTCCCGTACTCTGCCGATGCTATGCAGAATGACGCTGTAGTACCAAGGTCTTTAGACTTTATCGGGCTACTATTTGGTTCCCCTACTCGAAGGCAGACACGAGAGAACCCTTTATTCTTTTGACCTGGAGTGGTTCCAGGACCAACACCTAGGTAGCAAGACAGAGTGCTGAGTTTTCCGCGTAATCTGGTGTCCGAACTCTGCCCCTCGCTGGGCCTTTGAGGATCACCCAGGAAACGCAGCACTACAGCCATGCTATAGCCCTGTAGAATTCAAGTTATGAGAATTGCCCCTGGTGAGAAAAAAACAACGACGTATTTTTAGGCCGCGTTTCGGCTGTGTGTCACGGTGCGTCCTTTCAAACGTTTTACGACGCCGAGGAACGCTCATTGACGCTAGTTTACGCCCCGTGGATGGAACATCATGGGACAGTAAGACGCCGCTTCACGTCAACTGTAAATGGTCGCGTCTGATGGACGCTAGCGGAAATACTTCTTTCATGGTCGCGTCTCATGGACGGAACAGCGCCCCCTAGCCGAGAGAAACAGGTCTATCTAGGATCTATCCAACTCATCTACTGTTTCCGTCCGTTATAGGTGCTGGCATCCATCCGTTACGACTGGTCTAGGTCCCAGCTGGTCTGGATGTCCAGCTGCAGAGTGGTCCTGGTGCCCCTGATGGCCCTTTGCGCGGTGCCCAGCAGGGATCCGGTCCAGAACGCCAGCGTAGCGGCAGATGTCTGGGCGATGGTCCTTTCTGTTCTCCTCGGAATAACCAACGGGGTGTTTGGGTCCGTGCCTATGATCGTGGCACCGTCCAGAGTTCCGGACGACCAGAAGGAACTTACGGGTGAGTTTCGATTGTCTTTCGGCAAAATAACTGTTTCCATGAACTTTATTTTATTGGTGGACAAGGATGGTGTGTCGCGAAAGGCCAGGAAGAACACAAGAGAAAGATCTAACTTGCACACAGTATGGTACTTCTAGAGGCCTATCTTATATCTAATCAGTTTATGTTACAAGACGTTAGTTAATGGTCAAAGTGTTTTTCTTCGGCCCTGACTGTCAAAAAAAAAAAAGAAGAAAAGAAAGTCAGTTTGGTTTTTATTTGGTTTGCCATAGGAATGCTAACGTGCCATACACAAGCCAAGTTTAGGTGACATATGTCAACCGAATAGGCAGAAGTTAATTTTCATTCTGGCCCTTATTCGGCAATTCAGGACCAAGATACAAAGACTCTCGTAAAAAAAATATTAAGTTTGGTTATACCTTTGCTTCTTTGAGCTTTCAGGAAACAAGTTACGAGAAAAAAACAACAACAAAATGTTCCCAAAGAACTCTTCTACTCGGAGAGGACAGTTAGAATGTTACGAAAAAGTTTTAACCCAGGGGCGGTGTGCCTGTTCGCCTCTTCTCGTTCAAAATCCTGTACCCACCTCTCATCGGCAAGCGTCCAACATCAGCATGATCGCCTTCTCCAAGCCGGGTATCCAGCAGACTTCCTTCGTACTACCCTTCAGCATCTCATTACAGACCCCAACCGTCGTTCATCTAGCAACGAAGGACAGAGCCACACACGCCCGGCTTACATTCCATACATGCATAATACTGCCCATCGCCGGAAGAGTCTCGCTGCCAGGTTCGACACGAAGGTCTTTTTCACATGTACGATGAAGCTAAAACATATGTGCCAAAGGGTAAATAACGAACATCGTCCACCAGAATACACCATCAAGCACTTCGAAAATTACGTTAAATGCCAAGAAAAGCCAATTTATTCTATTCCGCTCAGTTCTGGCAGCCAATCCATCGGCCAGACGGGACGATGCCCTGCCTTAGGAAACACCTTCTCGAAGTGAACAAGGCGTCACCCGACTCCCACCATCCAATTGTTGTTCATGCTCGCACCTGCCAAGATTGCACCCCCAGCTATGAAAACACTTCCGTGCTAGGCTCACACAAGGACAAGCATGAGCGAGAGACAATTGAAGTATTTAAGATCAAAACCGCCACAAACAATGTTTCTGGGCCCTCGTTGTTGTTATCGACACGAGAGATGGAATTCCTATCGCGAGAGTTGTCATAGAAAGAGTTTCCTCCAGTTTTCTTCTTCTTCTTCCTTAATTCAGCCATTTGTATCTTTATTTTCGTATTTTCTATAACGAACCAAAATGGTTCGTTATAGTGTGATAGGCATCATTCAAATGTAGTTGCTCGTTGAAAGAACTGTCTGTGTCTGTCCCTCGTATATTTTTCTATTTTAATTCTTTCCGTGCGAACGGTGTGCCCACTTTCGCCCGCAATTGAGGCCGAGTGTTCTTGCTTCCCATTGAGACGCTACGTTATCAGACTCGTGGCTTAGGATGTGCATTCTTTCCGCTGCGTGAAGCGTAAACCCGTCACGATGACACACGAGGAATGCATATTAACCCTAGACCCTAGGCACATAAAAGACTAAGAAGTTTATTCTAATTGTTATAAAAATTAGCTGAAGAGTGTGGTAAGGACGAATTGAATTTTATTTTGCGTATATTTTAAAATGAATAATTCGAGCTACTTCCATAGCTTCATGTCAATAGTTACTAATGAAAACACGAAAGCGGACGAGGCTGGCAGAAAAAAAAAAAAAAAAAGAGTCTCCTGGAAGCACTAGAGTGGTGATTGATGTTTATCTAGGAGGGATGCTTTTAAATGAACTATAATTGAAGCTAAGAGGTGGTTTAAATAGAATGCTTGTTACTTCGCTCCATAATGCTTTTTGATAGATTTTGCGCTCGGTCAACATGCATGTTGGCTTCTAATTTGAGTTGTTTTAATCCTACATATTCAAGTATTTAGGGCCCGTTCAATATTTTTAAAATGTTCTCCAGATTATGGGATAATATTTGATCATAGATTACTTTCTATTTCGTGACGTGATGATTTGCATAATTCAGGGATTGCAAGTTTACACACTGTTCATGTTGTTCTATTCTCATTGCGGTGTCTTAAAATTTAATGCAAACTGAACCAATTCTCGAGTAAGGCAGACTGGTAAGTAATAAATGCTATAAATTTAGTATTGTACACAACTTCAACATGTAAAATACCTAGTTTCGTTTACAATTTGTACTTTAAACGAGTAGTCATGCTCTACATTTTTAGAAAACCGTTAAAGCGAACAAGTTTTTGTGTTTGCTCCAGTCATATATATATATATATATATATATATTTAAAACTTGGTACACATATGACAACATATGAGATAATATATGTTCTTATATACTTCTTATAGAATTTATACGAGTTCTGATATATTTATTGGACAAATCGTATTTGAAATGCTTTTTTCATAATAGGGAGGCTGTAACTTTTGATTCCTCCGACGGACGATGCCTTTCTTATTTTCAGGAAACATCATGACGCTGTCATACAGCGTGGGCCTCACAACTGGTTCCGGTGTGGCATACCTGATCGAATACCTCATTGGTTGGACTCATGTGGCGTCAGTCTGTACCGCTGACGTCGTGGAGGCCACGGTCACGTGGTCCAACCTGAACGAGACCCTCTCAAATTTCTCGACAACCGCTCTGGCTTTTGTGACGTCTCTCTTGCCAAAGGACAATGTAACCGCCTTGCCCATGTCGCCGTGAGTGTGGGTATGATGAACATGCTCAGCTCTTTTACCGTGTTTTACTTATACTTTTAACGGGTGCAATGGAACTTGACTCGCCAGTTACCTCGATGACATTCCTCTTTTTTTTTATTTTGAAGTACGTGAAGGAAAGCGTGATTTATCGAACGATCACATATCTCCTACCTCTTAAGGCGTGTCCGTCTTTCGCGGCCGAAAATCAGCGCCAGTGGTTTCTTCGTGTTGTTTCATTAATTTATCTGATAACTCTTACTGCAATCCTCATCGGCCGAGGGAAGTCTGGATTAGTATATGACTGCAACAGAGTTTGGCCAGATTGCTTAAAACTGTTGACGCTTTTGATCTGTTTACAGTGGTTCGATTATATTTTTTGTTTCTGATACTCCCTATGCTCTATTTAACGTTACGATGATCCACGTGGATGCTACGAATCATCCCAGACAATCCAGCAGTTTGAGCGTGTCAACGTGACGTGCCTCGAGTGCCGTCGCGCCCTTCTCGAAGGTTGTGTGAGTGACACTCACAAGGATTTACAATGATTTGATAGATTGCAGCATCCTCCGCGGTCCATCGTAACCTAAAACAGAGTATAGTCTTTCATTTGGCGGATACAAGAACGAGTGGAGAAGGCTGCAAAATGAAGTGAACTCATACCAGGAAGGGACATCAAAGTTTTAGAGCCCAGCTCTTAGGCGCCCGTTTCCAGCTTGAGCGGCGTCGGCGTAACCGCGCAGTGCATTGTGGGAAATGTCCCATATTGCACCGCGCGAGCCCCCCCCCCCCCCCCCCTCCTGGTCACGTGACCTCCCCCCCCCCCCGAGGACATTGAAGAATGAGGGGAGAAGGAGGAGGAGGAGAGGGATTGCAAAGCAAAAAAGAGTAAACATGTTTCACTCTTTTTTGTTTTGCAATTTAGGGATATAGAAAGGTTACTTCCATGTTTAAGAATTTAATATTGCTACAGAGACGTTGCTCCCGTCGTTTGAGAACTTTGTATACATAGTGTATGCACTCTTATGAAAAGCGATCATGAAGATACCTGCTGAGAAGCGTGCTTCGCCGCACTAACTGTGTTGATGTGGGGAAGCTTTCTTTCTGAAGGAGGGGGATGCTGTCGCGAACTGCGCGAAAGTGCCCTTTTGGGATGCTGCATGTGATATTGAATTGTCGGAAACGTGTGATCCTTTGAACTGGCGCTGTTTAAGGACATATCAGTTTCGTTACAGACTTCTCCAGAGAATTTCTTTCTACCTGTATATATTTGTTGCGCGAAAATGTTACAGTCTATCAGCAGCAGCCGAGATTTGCTGTTTCGAGTGTTGTTCCAAAGCGTCGTCAATTTATTTTAGTTTTACCTTATTGCGTATACGTGTTTTTATACTTTTATCGGTGGCAAAAAATTTACTCACTGATTATAAGCAAGGGCGTTGAAGTTAAGAAAATGGAGTTATAGAATATTCACTAGCGTTTCGTTCTGTTGTTTTTCTTTTTTTCGAAGTTTGGCAGGAATTAGTCGTTATTTTATTGTTACCAAATGTTTTATGTTTTTTCGTGCTTTGTTTTATGTTGCTGGTTTTTCTTGTTTCGTTCGGTTAATGCGTTTGTTGGTTTCCAGGTTTATCTTTAGTTGCACCTTATTCTCATCCCATGTCTGCCTTTGTGAACCTTCGTCGCGTGATTTCCTGCTTGTGATCCATAGCGCCGATGGCTTCCTGGGGTATAGTAAGACAAATGAGTAAGTATAATGCATTGTACTTCGTAGCACTTTATTTGGCGCTTAGTAAAATTCGACCCATCTTGGGCAACCGAATAGATAGGAACTCACGTTTTAATTGTCAGATGAGGTAACCTCAACATTGTGAAAATGGGTTGACCCGCACCTATCCCCATTTTGTAATGCTCAGGGTTCTAACGCGTATGTTCATGTATACCTTTAGGTTTAAAAGAATGGAAGAGCTCGGATCAAGTAAGGTTTATTCCTTCTAATCGCTAAAAAAACTAAGATAGATAAGAATTTGAACTGATAACATGCAGACGCCGTATCAAAATGTATAGCACATTCGACTGAACGCGTAGGCCCAACTGTGACGAGACGTAAGAGCTTCTGTAATCGGTAGCGTTTGAGGAGCGTTATTAACGATAGCGTTTAAGAAGCCTTTTTTTTTTTTATATAATAACAAATAGAGACATACGGGTCCAGCTGGTGGATATGTTAGTGAAATCTACATTAGTGAGAGAGAACTTGTGAAGGTTATGTTTATGGGGATAATGTTTTCTCGTGAACCTACTTGATGATTTTGGGCAACTGGTCTTGTCAGACAAGTTTTTACAGTGAGATGGTAGTTCGCTAATTAAAGCGCGAAGTTGTAGGAATGTCTTGCAGGCGAGTACAGAAAACTGTTCTAGCAGGTAATATTGATACTCAACGCTATCGCCCCATTTAGGGGATTAGTCGTGAGTGATCGCAGTGACGTACAATTGAGTCAGACCGATAATGACTGCTCGCTAGCATTTCGGACGACTTTAGCCAAAGGAAGGTTTTCAGAAGTGATAGCTAATATTGGTTTTGTGGCAACTAATGGCCGACATGCAGCAGGCAGCTTTCAAGAATGGCTAATAGCAGACAATGTTCTTGGACGCTTAAGTGGAAACGTATTGGGAGAAACGTGTGTATTGCCATGCTACGTGAATTGATAGTTGTTTATATCCTGAAAATGATAAAATCTTGATATCAGGTGAGATCTGTCATCCCCTGCTATAGGTGGTAATTGGGAAATAGTATTTAGTTGATATCTGTTCTCCGACCTCGAATGGCACACAATGCCTGGCAAAGAACTTCCACATGTCAACTGTAAAAAAAAAATAATATAGTTTTGTACGTGACCATGGCATTTAACCTCAATTGAATCTGAGGGCACGATCTTGATTTTGCTGTATGTGTTTTAGTTTTACGCGCTGTAAACTATCGTTACTCTTCGGTTGATCTCAGCTTTGGTGTCTACGGTCCCGAACATGTACACCTCCCTTTACGATGTGACATTCCATTATTTGTTGTGATTTATTTTATTGTTGTTGTTTCTAAATTGCATTTTGAAAATATTAAAAATAAAAATAAAATGCGAGTGCCACGTTTCCTTTTAAGTGCCGTCCGTCGCAGAGAAGAATCAACTTCGTAGTTCTCATTGCTGTTTTGAAATGAACAAAGTACCGCAGGTAATTGGTTTATTTCAAATCCCGATTCTTCCTGAGGTTCGTGATGTCTACCTTGATCACTGACAAATAGAGCGTATACCTTAGCTCAAAGCTTTAACGCTGTCTGATTGGAATCAATCAGACAGCGTCAATAGTGAGGAATCATGTTGTTCGTCATGTTTCCGTACGTGTTCCATCATCGCTGAACCAATCATGAACAGAAAAGACTTAGTGATGTGCGCTGTTGACGATGCTTGATTATTCTCATTAGCCCGTAGCGTCGGCTCAGTCTGTGCTTAAAGTGAAACAACGTGTATAACCTTAGAGAAGTCACGTCTGCTTTGTTTTGCGTCACATTTCTTCGGAGTACTAGCCCGAGGTAAATCGAGAACAGCGGGAAGATGCGACATGGTAATACGTGTCTGCTTGCTGGCTGCGTCTTGCTAGTGTGGCGACATCGTTCGGGAGGGCAAGTGCCGCCTTTCTGGACGGGGCCTTCATTGTGCGTCCCCGCGGCGTGGTGATCTCGTATACGTAAGACCGGGGGTTCAGCTTGTGCCCGTGGAAAATGCCGAATCAGGAAGTACTCGCTAAGGTCGGGAGGATGCATTATTCAGAGTACAGGCTACCTCGACTCGATAGTGCAAGGTAAAGTATCACAAATGGGGTCATTTTTACGATGTTTTCGCATCGGGATTAGACGAGTCGCCGAAAACAAACGCATCGTTTGACGTTTCACGTGATTTTACGCGTTTTCAAAGTTGTCCCTCGTCATTTCACGAGTGAGTAATGCTCGATAACTGTTGTAAAGAAGCGCACAAACTTCGCTACACACAGCTGGGAGGCAAAATGGCGGTTTGGCTAGCAGACGACAGAGTTGTCCTTACTCTGCTGCGGCGCGCCTCGCAGCGTCTCATAATGGGCGCGACGCTGGCACGCTGCGACGCCAATGCGGAGAGCAAGTTGTCTGCTTCCTGCGCAGAAGCTGCGGTGACGTCAGACTTATGCCGAGCTCTCATTGGCTTAAATACTAGATGCCTTGAGGTCTACCCACTATTTTTGTTTCAATCAGCCAATAAGAGCTCGGTCTCCTGGCATCGTCGCAACGCCTTAGCAAAAGCAGATGAACTTGCGCTCCTCATACGAACGCGTCTGCCGCTTTGCGAATTTATATCGTCGTGACTTAGCGTGTTTGCCGCTAGGAGCGGGTCGGGAATTCACTAACGATGACGCAGTGCGCATGCGTGGTCTTCTACCTGGTATTGGCAGAACACGTACCAAACAGGGGCATGCCGTGAGCATCTTCCTAAGCGCGGGTCAATGGCCCTTTTGCGGCGTCGCGGCTGCCCTGAGGCCGAATATATACACTAATGCCAACACTAATACCAGTACTAATGCTCGTACTAATACAGTAAGTCACTCCATTTCATCCACGCGCTCCTGAGGGACTGAGGCTGCCCCCAGCAGATTATCCAGACTACACGTAAGTTTCTTTTTTCTTTTTAATCGCTACTAATGAAGGACAGTCGAACTTTGTGTAATCTGTCTTGGATGTTACTGGGGATCATAGGAAATGGTCGTGTGATGTAGTTTGTTTCTTGGCACTGCTCATTAGACCTGTAAGTATCTACGTACCTTGGGTGCCGCCTTGGTGCGTCCGTATGTTTATACAGAAATTTGGTTTTCCTCGTCCTCTGCCACGTAGTAAACATATCATGTATGTAGGACAAAAAAAAAGTAGATAAAAACGGGAACAAAAACATGAAACCTTGAAAAAAGGAACAGAAAATATAGAATAGGCAAAGA